GCTGGAGATTACGGCCTCCCATAGCTGCTGCCAGGCCCTAATCTGCCAGATGCCCCTATATACCGATTTCCTCATGGCTGATGCCAGGTCCAGATCTCTCTCATGGGGTCCCTGTAAGGCCTCCCTTTGGCTGCTGTCTCATCGCCACACTCTGCCATGTGCCACTTTCAGGTGCTCCTCACACACTGCTGGTGTGTTAGAATTTTTTGACATAGGGTGCTGGGCAGATTACGGGACCTCAACCATAGTGCTGCACAGAGACACCCTACATCTGCACAATAGTGCCACCACATAATACCGCCTCCTCATGCTGCTGCCAGGTCCAGAGTCTGTCATGGGTCCCTGTATAGGCCTCCATAGTTTGCTGCTGTCTCCATCGCCCACACGTCTTTTCTGCCATGGGGCCCCCCTCTTCAGTCAGGTTCCTCCTCACACACTGCTGTTGGTGTGTTGAATTTTTTTGACATAGGAGTGCTCGGCAGATTACGGGCCTCCACATAGCTGCTGCACAGGCCCCTAATCTGCCATAGGCCCCTTGTTTTGTTCCCTATATACCGCTTCCTCATGCTGCTGCCAGGTACCAGTGTCTCTCACATTGGGTCCCTGTGAACGGTCCCTCCAGTTGCTTGTGCTGGTCCTCATAGCCACCACTCTGCCATGTGCACTTTCAGGTCTCCTCACACCACTGCTGGTGTGTTAGAAATTTTTTGACATAGGGTGCTGGCAGATTACGGGCCTCACCATAGCTGCTGCCCAGGGCCCTAATCTGCCATGGGCCCCCTATATACGCCACCTCATGCTGCTGCCAAGTCCAGAGTCTGTCATGGGTCCCTGTACTTATTTTTTTAAATGGCCCCTCCCATTGCTGCTGTCTCCATCGCCACACTCTGCCATGTGCCACTTTCAGGTCTCCTCACACTGCTGCCATGTGCCACTTTCAGGTCTCCTCACACACTGCTGGTGTGTAGAATTTTTTGACATAGGGTGCTGGCAGATTACGGGCCTCCCATTGCTGCTGCCAGGCACGTAATCTGCCATGGGCCCCCGTACCGACTCCTCATGCTGTGACGTTGCAACAAGGTGGAATTCAACCCTACATATGTTAGACCGCCTTTACGAACAGCGAAAGGCCATCACAGATTTCCTGATGTTAAAAGCGGATAAAGGTACTCCCTGTGTAACTTAGATGTCAGCCATTGGCAGCTCATGCGTGACACCTGCGCTTGCTCAGGCCCTTTGAGGAGGCCACGCTATTCGTGAGTCGGCAGGACTATGGGATGAACGACGTCATTCCTCTGTTGCACGTCCTGGAACAAATGCTGTTAACAATGGCTGGTCAGGGGTGCGGTAGACGTGGCGCACAGAATCTCAACGCCACATGACCCCTGTGGGGGCAGGACAGGAAGAAGAGGAGGAGGTAGAGGAGGACATTGGTGCTCAGGAATTATTGAGTGAAATGGGTGGTTTTTTCCACTCAGCGGACAGGAGTGGAGGAGCAGGAGCATCTGGTAGAGAGGAGGAGGAGGAGGAGACAGAGGACCCAGACGCACCGTGGCAGTATGCTGTGGAGATGGAGGCAGGGAGTCCCTCGCATTCCTTGCACAAATGGCCCATAGCATGCTCGCTTGCTTGCGTAGCGACAGCCGAATAATAACCATCAGACAGAGGGATGACTTTTGGCTGTCCACCTTGTTGGACCCTCGCTACCGTTCAAAAATGGTGGCCTTTTTCACACCTGCTGAGAGGGAGGCCAAAATAACGTACTATAAAAACCACCTATGTAGTCAGCTGGTCTCTGCCTGTCTGCGCCAACGTCCATCCTCAGACACTGTGGGCCCTGTGCGCTCGCGTTCCGCTGCCATGGCAGCAGGGGAGGGGTGGGGGGTGGTAGGAGCAGTGGCAGCTCCACCAGCAGCGGCTGCCTCAGTCTGCAGTCGATGATGAGTAGCTTTCTTCACCAGCGCAGTGAGGAAACTACTAACGCAGCCGCAGCAGCAGCAGCAGCATCAGGTGGACCTGGAGCAGGACCTCAAACAACAGGCTTAGGCCTACTTGGACAGCACCCTGCCAACCGAGGTAGACAATCCCCTTGACTACTGGGCAACGAAACTTGACCTTTGGCCCCAACTAGCTGAATTTGCCCTTGAAAGGCTGTCATGCCCGGCCAGTAGCGTGGCATCGGAGCGCGTGTTTAGTGCGGCAGGAGGTATTGCAACTCCGCGAGGACACGACTGTCCACACCAAAGTGTGGAGAGACTCACGTTTGTGAAAATGAATCAGGCGTGGATTAGTCTGGATTTCAAACCACCAGTTCCTGACACAACTGACTAAATCCGCCATGAATCATGCCCCAAACATGTGCCACTTTCAGTCTCCTCACACTGCTGGTGTGTCCATTTTTTGTGTCATAGGGTTGCTGGCAGATTACGGGCCTCCCATAGCTGCTGCCAGGCCCCTAATCTGCCATGGGCCCCTATATACCGCCTCCTCATGCTGCTGCCAAGTCCAGAGTCAGAGTCACATGGGTCCCTGTACGGCCTCCCATTGCTGCTGTCTCCATCGCCACACTCTGCCATGTGCCACTTTCAGGTCTCCTCACACTGCTGGTGTGTTCCATTTTTTGTCATAGGGTGCTGGCAGATTACGGGCCTCCCATAGCTGCTGCCAGGCCCCTAATCTGCCATGGGGCCCCTATACCGCCTCCTCATGCTGCTGCCAGGTCCAGAGTCTCTCATGGGTCCCTGTACGGCCTCCCATTGCTGCTGTCTCCATCGCCCACACTCTGCCATGTGCCACTTTCAGGTCTCCTCACACTGCTGGTGGTTCCATTTTTTGTCATAGGGTGCTGGCAGATTACGGGCCTCCCATAGCTGCTGCCAGGCCCCTAATCTGCCATGGGCCCCCCGTACCGACTCCTCATGCTGCTGCCAGGCCCGTAATCTGTCATGGGCCCCTGTTTGCTCGCATTGTTGGCATATTCCGCTCGTTCAGATGCCAACTTCTCAGGTCTCCTGCTACACCTCTTCACGGATTCCGTCAGCAGTCTTTCTTGGAATCCGTTTTCCAAGAGACAACAGTTTTGCGAGCACGCACCAGACGGTGCAGAAGCTGAACGTCCTCCTGGCCAAGTTGCTGCTGCCAGGCCGTAATCGGTCATGCGCCCCTGTAACGCCTCCTCATGCTGCTGCCAGGTCCAGAGTGTGTCATGGGCCCCTGTACGCCTCCCATTGCTGCTGCCAGGCATCGTAATCTGTCCATGGGCCCATTGATTTCACCGCCTCCTCACATGCTGCTGCCAGGTCCAGTTTGTGTCATGGGTCCCTGTACGGCCTCCCATTGCTGCTGCCAGGCCCGTAATCTGCCATGGGCCCCCTGTACCGACTCCTCATGCTGCTGCCAGGCCCGTAATCTGCCATGGGCCCCTGTACCGGTACCTGCCTCCTCATGCTGCTGCCAGGTCCAGAGTGTGTCATGGGTCCCTGTACGGCCTCCCATTGCTGCTGTCTCTATCGCCACACCTCTGCCATGTGCCACTTTCAGGTCTCCTCACACTGCTGGTGGTTTCCATTTTTTGTCATAGGGTGCTGTATGGCCTCCCATTGCTAGCTGCCTCCACCGCCACACTGTGGCTCCACACTCTGGTTTTGGCCCCGTGACTGCCCAAATTTAAATTAAAGGTACAGTTTGTTCAGCACTAATATTAAGTCTCTGCTGTTTGCCTGTGAAACAGCCCTTGGAACTGTTTAAGTTAAATTCCACAGCGAATCTATTCGACTCGAATATCTGAAAGTTGCCCACTAAGATCGCCGAATCAGTCGAATACCGAATTTTTGAATACTTCCGCAGGCAATCTCTAGTATCTCAGGAGTGGAGGTATAGAGAGCCCCATCATTGGTTGTCAGTGGGACGGTATAGAGCCCCATACATTGGTATTTTGGTAGGGAATAGTGCCCCCTTCATTGGTTTTAGTGGGAGGAATAGTGCCCATCATTGGTGTACAGAGGGAGTAATAGTGCTGTCCCATCATTGTATGGAAGTTGGAGCTGACAGTGCCCAATCATTGGTATTACTGGGCCAGAACAGTGCCCAATCATCGTTATAGTGGGAAGGAATAGTGCCCCACCATTGTGTAGTGGAGGAATAGTGCCCATCATTGTGTCATGGGAGGACTCTACTTGCCCCATCATTGTGTCAGTGGAAGGAATAGTGCCCTCATCGCATTTGGTGTCAGGGGGAGGAATAGTGCCCCCATCATTGGTGTCAGTGGGATGGAATAGTGCCCCAGCATTGGTATCAGAGGAAGGAATAGTGCCCCAATCATTGGTATCTGGCAGTTGACTGAACAGTGCCCAATCATTGTATTACATGGACGTAACAGTGCCCAAATCATCGTATGCTTAGTGGAGGTTAGATTTGCCCCACTATTGGTGTCAGTGGGAAGGCAATAATGCAGGCCCATCATTTGTGTCAGTTGGAGGGAATAGTGGCCCCATCTTGGTGTCAGTTGGAGGATTAGTGCCGCCATCATTGCTGTCAGTGGGAGGAATAGTGCCGCATCATTGGGTGTCAGTGGGCGGAATAGTGCCCTCATCCTTTGGATATCAAGGAAGGACATAGTGCCCCATGCCTTGAATCTAGTTGCTGTCATGCCCGAAGATATTCCGTGTCAGTCGGGGCGGAATAGTTTCAATCATTGATGCAGTCAGGAGGTAATTTGTCCTCATGGATGGGGTCAGTGACCTCTAGAAGTGTAAGTACCCCATAAGTTTGGTGTCTAGTGGGAGAAATGTCGTGCCTCCTTTTGGTGTCGAGTGAAGGAGGCAAGTGAGACTATCAGATTGTACGTACCCAGGGCCGGATAGAGTGCAATTGGCAAAGGGCCACCGCTTTATAGCACCATTATCTTCTTGGACTGGTATGGGCAGTAATCAGAGATGAGAAATTCAGTTTCACAGTGGAGCAGGGAGTTCTTGGGTCAGATACTGAATTTGCACACATGCATGGTGTGTTGGCTGTGTCTTACATGGGTTCACAGATAGCCTCACCCTGCTGCCTGCTAACAAATTAGGTAATGTTGCGTCTGGATCACTCGGAAGAGGCCTCACTGGCCATAGTGGATTACTAATAGTGCCCTGCTTGCAGCCGAAGATCATCAGCTTTGTCTAGGCAGAGTTACTAGAGACAATTCATATGGTTCATTGAGTTGGAAAAAGCCCATACATTGGAGTCAGTGTTGAAATAGTGAAATTATTGTATATTGTATCGCACATGTCAAAAGTCCACCCAAAATATGGTGGGGGCAGATCAGTTCATCAGTGCAAACTGACAAGTGGGAAGTGTCCAAAGCTCATTGGTATCATATTCATGTTTTGCATGTCAGTGGTTGCAAAAGACACAAGTTCATACCGGAGATATACTATCCCCCCAAAAAAAATAAACACTTAACACATACACATGGGGTGATAAATAGAATGTTACCCTCAATATTGGTGTCAATCATATACTCATATAATTGATTCAGAAAAGGAAAAAATTATTAAACAAATAAAGCATGATCCAGTTTTCACTGATCCCCCAATTGGCAATAAGATATTCCCTGGATCAGCTGTACCTATAATATTAGTATCCCAGGTATATTTGGGGCATTTAGGAAATAATCCAGGCCCTTTTTAAAATCAAGCTACTTGAAATGGCCAAACCATTGGTAGTGAAGGGGAGTACTATTCCAATTTTCACAAGCTCTCACTGTTGAAGAAACCTTTCCATGTTTGAGAGATTAAATTTCTTTTCCTCCAGATGTAAAAAGGTCGTCCCCTGTCCTCTGTGATGACTCAGGGTGAATAGTCTACATTACGGTTCCACTATATGAACCAAAATGCCCATATTTATACATGTTGATCATATCCCCCAGAAATCTTATAGTATTATTACATGGAAGTTCATATCCCCCCCTTATGTATTATGTTACATGGAGATTTATCCACCCTTTGGTTTTATGAGAATGGAATCATATCCCCCTTATGTAATTATACATGGAGATTTTTATCCCCCCCTTATGTATTATTCATAAAAGGGGTTATACTGTTATACCCCGCTTATGGTAAATTGGTACGATACATATCCCCCCCTTATGTCAATTTGTTATAGCATGGTGATCATATCCCCCCTTAGGTATTATACATGGAGATCAAATCCCCCCATTTTGTATTATAGGGTCATGGTGATCATATCCCCCTTATGAAAATTATAACATGATCTTTCAAAGTTCATTTTTTCCCCCCTTATGTATGTATACAAAAACGATCAGTTTTCCCCCTTATGTATTATTCGTTTAGATGATCATATCCCCCCTTATGTATTATACTTGTGTGAGATCATATCTGTACACCCCTTATGTATTATACATGGAGATCATATACCCCCCTTATCAATATTATAAACAAATTTAGAATACACATATCCCCCCTTAAAGTAATTATACATGTATGAGAGATACATATCCCCCCTTATGTATTATACAATGGTGTATCATATGCCCCCTTTATGTATAAATTTCAGAGATCAAATCCCCCAGTGTTTGTATTATACTTTGGAGATCAGCTAATCCCCCCTTATGAATTATACATGGAGATACACATTTCCCTGAGAAACCCTTATGATTTATACATGGAGATCTTATCTCCCTTTATGTATTTTCACATGGAGATCAATGACCCCCCGTATGTAGTATACATGGTGATGATCATATCCCCCCCCTTATGTATTATACATGGAGATCCCGCATTCCCATATGTCCCCCTTATGTATAATATACATGGAGATCATATACCCCCTTAAATATTATACATGGTGTATCATATCCCCCCTTATGTATTATACATGGAGATCACATTTTGTATATCCCCTTTATGTATTATACACATGGTGATCATTTTCCCCCCTTCAATGTATGGTTACATGGAGATCATATCCAAAAATTATGTATTTACATGGTAATCATATCCCCCCTTATGTATTATAATACATGGAGATCATATCCCCCTTATGTATTATACATGGATGATTATCCCCCCCTTATGTATTTATTACATTTGGTGATCATATCCACCCCTTATGTATATATACATGGAATTTGCTTTATCCCCCTTATGTATTATACATGGTGATCATATCCCCCCATTTTTTATGTATTATACATGTTGTCTATCCCCCCCTTATGTATTAATGGTATGATCATTATCCCCCCTTATGTATTATCATGGAAGATCATATCCCCCCCTTTAAGATGTATTATTACATTGGTGATCATATCCCCCTTATGTTTATACATGGAGCTCATATCCCCCCTTATGTATTATACATGGGTGATCATATCCCCCCTTATGTATTATACATGGAGTTCATATTCCCCCCCTTATGTATTATACATGGTGATCATATCTCCCCCTTATGTATTATACAGTGGAGATCATTTCCCCCCCTTATGTATTATACATGGAGATTATCATTTCCCCCTTATGTATTATAACATATGGAGATCATATCCCCCCTTATGGATTATACATGGTGATCATATATCCCCCCTTATGCAAATTATACATGGTGATCATATCCCCCCTTATGTATTATACATGGAGTTATCTTACCCCCCTTATGTTATTATACATGGAGATCATATCTACCCCTTATGTATTATACATGGAGATCATATCCCCCCCTTATGTATTTACATGGAGATCATATCCCCCCTTATGTATTATACATGGATAAATTCATATCCCCCTTATGTATTATACATGGAGATAATATCCCCCTTATTGTATTATCATGGTGATCCCACCCCCCCCCTTTATGTATTATACATGGAGATCATATCCCCCCTTATGTATTATGTACATACGGAAGATCATATCCCCCTTATGTATTATACATGGTGAATGATCATATCCCCCCTTATGTTATTATACATGGAGATCATATCCCCCTTTTGTATTTTACATGGAGATTTTTCATAAATCCCCCTTATGTATTATTTTACTTGGTGATCATATCCCCCTTATGTATTTTACATGGAGTATCATTTTATCCACCCTTATGTATTATAACATGGTGAGTTCATATCCCCCCTTATGTATTTATTACATGGAGAATCATTATCCCCCCTTATGTATTATACATGGTGATCAATATCCCCCCCTTATGTTTTATACATGGAGATCATATCCCCCTTATGTATTACATGGTGATTCATTATCCCCACCCTTATGTATTATACATTGGAGATGAAATCATATCCCCCCTTATGTATTATACATGGAGATCATATCCCCCTTATGTTAAAATGTTTGATACATGGAGATCATATCCCCCTTATGTATTATTACATGTTGTTCATATCCACCCATGTATTGTGACATGTTCAATCAAAGAGCCCCCTTATGTATTATATACATGGAAGATCATATTTCCCCCCTTATGTATTATTATTACATCAAGATTAATCATCCCACTTGTGCCCAAAACTGAACTGCATATTCTAGATGAGGTATTACTAATGATTTGTACAGGGGTAATATGATACTCTCTCTCTCTAGAGTCTATACCTCTTTTAATACAAGAGAGGATTTTGCTAGCTTTAGAAACCGCAGAGCACAAATGAGGTCCTTGCACATGCTCGGGGGGATCCCATTCTATCAGTAGGAGTGAGGTGGCAGAGGTACCCTGGACTGGTGGAGCAGGCATGGGCTCGGCAATGTCCCTCCCAAATGT